GCCGGAGTACCCGGTTGGTCAGGCCGGAGTGGGCCCTAGAAGGACGTGAGCAGGGTCGGAGCAAGATGGCGGTGCAGGCGGTGCAGGCGGTGCAGGCGGTTCATCTGGAGTCTGACGCTTTCCTAGTTTGTCTCAACCATGCTCTGAGCACAGAAAAGGAGGAGGTGATGGGGCTGTGTATAGGGGAGGTGAGTAGGTCAGCCTGGCTGAAAGTCTGCTGAGCCGTCCCCAGTGGTTTCTGGGGCGGCTGGGAGGCCACGAGAACCTCCGACCCCGATCCTTGCACATTCTCTGGATGTCTTTTTTGCGGGGCCCTTTCCTCTGGCCCCCAGACCCTCGCTTGTCTCTCGCATGCCTCCAGCAATCTGCATAAACCCACGGAGAGCTTTTCTGCTGAGGTTACCACCCTACTGCGCAAAAGTACCAGTCAGGGTGGAAAGCATTTGTGGTAGAATGAGGACATTGAGGTATGAGGAAGCCGGGAAGTAGGGTTAGACCCTCCCGCCTCGCTCTAGGGAAGCAGAGATGGCCATAAAACGTTTTAAAGTTTAGCAGAGATCCTGAGACAAGGGTTTCATGGACACGAAAGTTTCCACTGAGTTGCGTTGCAGAGGGACCAAAGTGGATGAGGAACTACAATGTAGCTATTCACAATATAAAAATTCTCTCATCTTTAATTCCGGTGTCAATGAACATATGACCTAATTTTTGTATAATCTGCATTCCCGTCGTCATATAAGCGTGATGTGATCAATAATGTTTTCTGTTCCTTCCCACTCTAGTTGAATGACGATACAAGGTAAGATTGTATTTATTTACTCATATCTTGTGATTTCTAAATCATTGTTAACTCAAAACTATGACGTTTGGTAGCGTTATGTATGGATTCCGTGTTAAATTACCAATGTGACTTCAGAACACCCTCAGGTCTACAGTTTGAGTTCCACCCCAACCCTGAAGGTTTATTTCTGCCTTACTTTTTAGTAGGAGGAATTTCACTTGAGCTATATAGGACCTTATGTGAAAAATATGATTAAGCGGTAACATGACCATAAGAGAACCTGTTAAGGCTCTTAGAAATAGAATTTCATTGACAGAAATAAAGGCAGAATGTTGAAAAGACTACCAATATGTTTTTCATTTAGTGCTATTATTTTTCACTTTCTTGCTTGATGTGTTTTATGTTCTGTCTCTCCTGAAATGTCATTCAGATAATTTTCATTGTGGCAGATAATGTATACATTCAGAGCGCACCCCCCTCGATCCACTCCTCTATCTAAACAGTGGCTTTCTGCCTTCTCCCTTGATGGGCCTTTTGTGATCTCAGAGATCCCTAGTAGCTTGAAGGCTTGAGGGTAAGCCTCTGGGGTAGCTTTTACTTAAATTTCAAAGCATAGCTTACTATATTTTTCAACAGACCTCTGTAAAGCCCAGAAGTCCTGTCTAGCAGCTCTAGCCTCAGTGCACTTTTCCTCCTCTTTTGTTTCTGCTAAATTTACATTACAAAAACTGTTAATCAGGTTATTTTGCTTTAACGCCTTTTCCTATTCCAAAGCCAAGCTCCCTTTCCCTCCTAATTTATCCCCAATAGGAGTGATTACAAATTTGCATATACTGGAACTGAAATGCGTACAGTTGCTGAAAAGGTATGTGTGCTGGAATTCTGCATGATGGCAACTTTGCAGCTGGGGAGGGGTTTCTACTCTGATGACCTCAGCCAGATTATCAACCCCGTCTGTGGCTGGGTAGGGTTTCCTTTCCAATAAAATCAGAAGAGAAATTTACCCACTAGAAATGGGATCTAATTTTCTGTTTTTTTAAACAGTTTGTCTGCTTGATCAAAATGAGTAACCACTGTCAGTACCACTCTCTTCTCCATCCGTCATTGTCTTTTTCTGACCTTCTCTTGCTTTCCTCGAGGCTTTGGCATCTGGTTCGCTGTGTTGTCACCTCTTTATCCTGAGTCTCAGCAGCTGCTCATGTAGCCCTTCTCTTGCACACAAACTATCCATAATAGCATAATTCTTAGACTACTTTGGCTTTTCTCCTGTCTGCACTTCTAGCCTAAGTTTTTTGGCATGCATTGGCCTAATTGAGGTATAATCCTGGTGAATTTTTCTCCCAATATATCACAAATACCTTTGTAAAATGCAATAAAAATGAATTGCATCATTCCCTTCCTCCAGGCTCTTAGACAACAACTCCATTTACTTATCCTTTTATACAGACTTCTTAGCAACTTTTCTTCCCATATCAGAAAAGGTCTCTTCCTATCAAAGCTGCAGCTTATTCAGAGACCTTATATTCTTCTCTTAGGATGTGCAGACTATGATTAAATTATTCTCATTTTCAGAAAGGAAAGAAAAGCGACTTCTAAATTCTGTGTCTTCCTATGGCCACCATTCTTAAACACTTCCTTTCATAGCCAGACTTTGTAGAAGCACAGACTAAAATAATTTCTTCACCTTCCCCAGTCACATCCACTGAGATCTGGTTTCTACTCCTACCTCTCCAGCCGCTTCCTCATTGCTGTGCCGAGTGTATTTTTTCTTGGTGCTTCTCTTTCTCTCTGAAACTCCAAACTTCCCTGGGTTTTTGTTTGTTTTGTTAGGTTGTGCTTCTTTTATTTCTCTCCTTTCCCCCATATTGTTTATGAACTCTTCCTCCTCTGTGTATACATTAAACGTCATTCCTTTTAGGCACTAAAACCTCTAATGTATGTGGGGGGGAGAAATAGAGATAGTTTACTACTACCCTGGGCATGAACTGCTAGCATATATTCTGCAGTGTAATGATATAATTTTTTCAAGAGTTTATATCCTCATCTTGAATTTTATATAAATTTGTATTGTCTAAATTAGATATTAAACTTCATGAGTTGAGCAACATTAGCTTTTTAGTTAGTGTGGGTATGGTATTTTTTATCCTTTTGTTTTTAGCCTATGTACTAATATTTAAAATATATCTCAATTATATCTAATCATTTTAATAATAGTTTCATGATCTTTTTTTTCTGGTTTTTTGAGGCAGGGTCTCACTATGTAGTTGAGACTGACCTGGAACTCACTATGTAGCCCAGGCTGGTCTCGAACTCACAGCAATCCTCCTGCCTCAGCCTCCCGATTGCTGGGATTACAGGTGTGCTCCACCATGCCCGGCTCATAATCTTTTTAATTGGAGTATTTACTTCAGTTGCATTTAATGTAACTACTAATATATATTAGTTACAGTTGCCTTCATTTTGCTTTCTACTTGACCTACTTTTTTGTTTTATATTACTTTTCATTTCTCGCCTTCTTTTGGATTAATCAAATATGTTTTATTAATTTTACTTCAAGTCTCCATTAGCTATAACAATCTTTTATTGTCCTTTTAGTGGCTATCCTACATTTTTGTTGTTGTTCTTTTTGGGGGGGTACTGTGATTGAACTTGGGACCTTGTGATTTCGAGGCAGGCAGTGGAACCACTGAGCTAAATCCCTGGCCCAAAAGTATAATGTTAAATTGATTTTTGTTTGTTTGTTTGTTTGTTTGTTTTGTTTCGGTACCTGATATTGAACGCAGGGCCTTGCACTTGCGAGGCAGGTGACAGCACCTCTGAGCTAAATCCTGGGCTATCCTACATATTATAGTATGAATTCTTGATTTATTACAGTGTGACACAAATGACTATATTTACCATTTCCTCAAAAATACAGATGCTCTTCAACTTACAATTTGGTTATGTCCCAATAAACCCAGTGGATTTAATAATATTGGGAGAGTAGAGCGAATATTTTGTAAAATATTGGTTATTTCCCTTCACGACCACATGGAAAACTGAACTGCAGCTCACTGCTCCTACCCAAGATTGTGAGAGTATCATATCACATATCATATGTCACTAATCTGTGAAAAGATCAAACTTCAAAGTATAGTTTCTGCTGAATACATACTGCTTTTACACTGTGATGAAGTTGGGGACCATCTATACTGGAACTTTACAACATTTTGTTTTCGTTTATTCCCTCTCACCTTTTGGATTATTGTTGACATACATTTTAATTGTATGGCTATTTTAAGCCTCACAGGACACTGTTAAGTTTTATGCAGTTAATATTCATTGTATTTACCCAAAGACTTAATCTCAGTGGTGCTTGTCACTCCTTTCTTCATTTTTGGGATTTTCCTTTTGCCTAAAGAACTCTCTAAGGGATAGGGATGTAGCTCAGTGGTGCCGCACCTGCCTAGCAAGTGCAAGGTCCTGAGTTCAGTCCCTAGTATGGGTGGGGGGGAACACAACGACACACGACAGGACGGACGACTCTTTCTAGTATTTCTGTGCTGATAATGAATTTCCTCCATTGTGCATCTGAAAATCTCTTTATTTTGCCTTAATTTACCTTAACTTTTGAAGGGTATATTATTTCAATATAGAATTCTTGGTTGCCAGATATTCTCTTAGCATCTCACTTTCTTTGGGCTTTCATTGTTTCAATTGAAAAGGAAGCCATTTGTCTTTCCTTGAAAAGCTATGCATCTTTCTATCCCGTTTTTGATTTTATTTATTAAGTTTTTATTGCCTGTTGGACATTGTACTGGGTGCTGGCAATAAAAATATAAAGAAAACAAAGTCCCTGCTCTTAAGGGGCCTACATTTTAGTACAGGAGAAAATTGTGTGAAATAAGTAGAACACAGTATGTATTCTAACAGTTATAAGTGAGTGGATATTATAAAAGAAATCATATGTAGAAGAAAATGATTAGTTTTGACAGGATGATGGGGAAATTTAAAGGCTAGGAAAGAGTCCACCGTGTGAAAAAAAAAGGGGCTGGGAAGCACCTTGTAGGCCGAAGGGACAAGAGGCGAAAAGGTGTGGTGTCCAGGGAACCTCAAGCAGCCGAATAATGCCAGACATTTATGTGAAGATACTCATACATGCTTTGCAACAGGACATCACTTGACAGCTTTTTGTTTATTATACAAAGTGGAAATTTGATTATAAAAATAGTCAGAATTTAGTAGCAAAGGTTCCCTTCTTTTGAAAAACAGTTCTGTGATTTCATTAAATCTCTACAGTATTAGAAATTGAAAAGCTGAACTGGTTAGATAGCTTTCTTGTTTGAAAAGATTAAAATTGCAAACTGAATATAAAAATAAATAAAATCTTTGCTTATCTATTCACAGGAGAATGCTGAAGATAGATAAAATCTTTGTCCATTAGAAATACAATCTTGGGCTCAGTGGTAGAGCACAAAGGGTGATAAAAAATATGATGAATGTTTAGATTTGAAAAGAACTTATTTAAACATTCACCCTATTTTATATACCCCTTGTCGATCAACCATTTATGGCGATTTTTGTCAAGTAAAAATCTGATGGTATGTCCTCACCACCCTTACTCATTGCATCTGGCACCTTGTGACTTTGGCCTCTTCCCAAAATGACCATGAAAGGTAAATATTTTGTAATAATTCAGGACGTGGAGGCCGCCATGACAGTGCAAGTTATGATACCCAGGAAAGAGGACTTCCGGAACTGCTTCAGAAAGTGGCAAGAACTAATGGATCAGTATGTTTGAAGCAAGAGGGAGTATTTTGAGGGGGATTCATGGCAAATATGTCTTTTACTGGAATACATTTTTTAGAAAAAAAAATTTCTAAACATTTATCATAGGTTTTGATCACATCCCTTGCTTGTGATGCATCTGAAATTCCCGGCGCTCAGTAGCCACATGTGCCTAATGGCTCTTGTGTTACACGGTGTGGCTCTGTAGCTTACTTCAGAAGATTCTTAGGTTTTCATTCTTGTCCCTTCATTGTCTCATTGTGCAAACCCATCCTTTCCCCTGAAACTCTTCACTATTACACTGTTCTAGTTTTGCCTTTTCTGTCTTTCTACCTATTCCCTTTTCTAGCCTATCAAAAATATGGGCACCCCTTTTGATTCAGGCCTCTGCTCTCTTTCTCCCACCTTTTTTGTTCACTCATAAAATTTTATTGATTCCCCCACCTGCCTGCCTGTTAATCATGGCCATAGCGTACTTCCTCTCACCTCAGATCAACTCATCTGATAATGAGCTCATCTCTCTATCTTCTGACCATTTATTTCTAAACTTAGATCTGCCTCCTTTGTTCCACCTAATCCGAGCCTTTAAACTTGAGAGTCATCATTAACGATTCTGTCCCGTGTCACCCATGGTTCGTAAGCCACCAAATCTTGATTCTTCCTTCTTAATGGGTCTCATATCTGTTTCTTTTGTCTCTACCATCTGCTTAATCCAGTGCTTTATCATTATTTCATGTATAGGTTATCTGAAATAATTTCCTTCCAGTTCATCCCGCAAATCACATCTTGTTACTAGATATCTTCTACATTCTCACTCCAACCTTCCTTCTTTGAGTTAACATTTGCTGTTACACCTTAAGCTGTGTGTCTAAATCATTTGGCAGCCAGTTTGTCTCTCAAATTCTTCATTCATACTTGACTAGCATATATACTCATTTGGCGTACCTGTAGAAATTCTGTGAGCACAAATACACACCTAGACCAATCAAGGAATAGATACACTTACCTATCTTTTCTATGAAGGAATAGATACACTTGCCTATCTTTTCTATGAAGGTTTTTTGTCTAATTTAAATGATCCCTTTCCTGTGAACTCCCTCGCATTGATTTGTTACATTATTAGCATAGTTTCATGTATGATTGCTCCTTAATTTTATCATTATTGTATTAAACACTTTGTCAGCACTGATTTATTTCCTTTGTGTGACAGTGTCTTGCACAGTTGTTAACTGAATAATTATGAAACATTCAAAAAGTTGTTCCTTGATCTAAATACTTTTATATTTTTGTTTCAATTTCTTTCATTTGAAACATTTCATTATTTATACACAAAATGTCAGTTTTCTAAGATGAAATCTTTAACCTGGTACTCTAGCGAAATACAATCCTATAATGATGTAAGAAGTGTTGTTGGCAAGAGACAGAAGTAATGATTTCTGTGGATTTTCCTTTAGGTTGACACCGTCAGAATTGTTCATATTCATTCTGTCATCATCCTGCGACGTTCTGATAAGAGAAAAGACCGAGTGGAAATTTCTCCAGAGCAGCTGTCTGCAGCTTCAACAGAGGCAGAGATATCCTTATTGACCAATAAGAAGCTTTTCCATGCTCTGGGGCTTTTGGGCTATACTGATCTGCTTGCTGTAAATTTTCTTCCTAGGGATTGTTTTCCAGTTTTCATATTTACCCTTTAGACCCAGTTGTTTGGTTAATCAGAATTTCTCTTTATTCTTTGAATGGCTTTTATCAGAAGAAAGAGAACTTTCTTGCATTCCTGCTCCTAAACGCCCAAAGACCCCAGGGTCAGATACTGTGAGGACTCCTTTCCTTCACATCTCTTACTTCTCCCTTCTCCATTCCTTTCTGCCACTCCTTCCATTTTTCCTAAAATCATGAATTAATTGTTAGGCTACTCGCTGTCTTGGTCTCTATCCTTTGGGAGATTTGCTCTTGAGACCCTCTTTAAAAATGTAGGGTTGAGAAATGAATGCAATATTCCATGATAAATAATCCAAAGAACAATCAAATAGGATATGTGCTCCCTATGATCTGGACTCCATACCTCACCTGTAGCGAGTTAAATGTGCATCAGTGCTTTTAGAAATTCATTGTTCTTTTGGATTAAGTCAATCTTCTAGACAACTAAAATAGTTTCAAAAGTAGGTAGAACACATGTATAGTAGAAATTTTACAAAGTACCAGGCGGTGTAGAGGAATAGGTGTTTCTCCAACCTCTGTCCTCCAGCTCTTCCCTGGCCCTTGCCAAATATAAACCAGGGTATCAGTTTTGCATGTATCCTTACAGACGGATATGCACATACAGAAGCATATATGAAGATTCTCTGAAAAAGTATTGAATACATATTTACCTTCTCATATACAGTATCCATCGTTTTTCACCAAGTGATGTCTTTTGAAATGTGTCTATTCAGTATATAAAGCTGCCTTACACTGATGCATAACTTATTTGTAAACTTATGCCTGGTTGCACTTCACAAATGTGTGTTGATCTGTAGGATCATTTCCTCGAAGCAAGGCATTTTCATTGCTTCAGAATGCTTGTTTTAAAGTTAGTTGAGGTTGAAAATTCTTAGTTTTCCAATAAATTGTTAAGATCCACGCATGTTAAATTCATTACTAAAAATTCATATGGCACAGCCACTGTGGAAATCAGTGTGGAGATTTCTCAAAAAAAGTAAAACTAGTGTTCCATTTGACCCAGCTATTCCTCTTCTTGGTATCTTCCCAAAAGAATTAAGAGCATCATACCACAGTGATATATGCACACCCATGTTTATAGCAGCACAATTTGTAATAGCTAAATCTTGGAAACAGCCCCAATGCCCATCAACCAATGACTGGATAAAGAAGATGTGTTTTTGTTTTTGTTTTTGTTTTGTTTTTTGAGACAGGGTCTCACTGTGTAGTTGAAACTGACCTGGAACTCACTGTATAGCCCAGGCTGGTCTCAAACTCATTGCGATCCTCCTGTCTCTGCCTCCCGAGTGCTAGGATTGTAGTCTTGTGCCACTACACCTGGCTTATGATTTTTTTTATACAGTGGAATACTACTCTGCCATAAAAAACGATGAGCTTCAGACATTTATAACTGAATGGATGCACCTTGAGACCATACTCTTAAGTCAAATAAATCAGACACACATTTGAGTGCCATGTTGTTTCTATGGTGTGAGAAAGTGAAAGGGGAAACAAGGACTAAAATTGAGGATATTGGGTCAGTGGTGTCCAAAAGTTGTGGGTTTCTTCCTATTGTGGGAAAGGAGGAGATGTCATTCCCATGTCCAGGAGTGAATGAATGTTTGAGACTTTGCCTAATGGGAAAGACATCTGTGGAAAGGCATTTCCTAAGTCACAGGTAAGAATCCAAATAGATGACTAGATGGGGGCTGTGTTTAATAATGGTGCCTTTGAAATGGTGGTCCCAGTGTCTGGTAATCTAACCAAAGGCCTGCATTTTAGCTTTTTTTTTTAACTTCCACTTAATCTGGCAGTCTGAACCCTTTTCCCCAACTCAACTCTGACTTTAATGCTCTGAGAAAATATCCCACAGGACTGGACCCTCCTTAACCATCTATCTTCCTTCTAATCTACGTGAATTTCTGTGGTGGCTGTCTTATGTAAAATATAGCAAAAATTTATTGTACATAGTTTCTATTAAATGATAAAGAAAACATGAAAAACAGAAGATAGAGAAATAGGAAGTAGGGAGAAGTTCTAATAATTCCCCAAACTATATATTCTGTGGTTTCGAAAGTATTTCAGTATATATACTAATTTGTTTCATTTATACCGCTAGGTCCTCTTGGTTCATTGAAAAGAAAATTTTGTGCTATTGTCTATTGCTTTTTTCTAAGAGTCTTTTTTGTCTATGATTTATACTCTAACATTTTGGCCATTCTTTTAAGATTATGGTACACAGTATATTAACTAATGTTATTCTTTAATTAATTTGTTATGAAATTTTGCTTTTTTCATAGAAGACTTTTTAAAAAACATTTTTAATATCTACTTGTATTACCTTGAAATAACAATATTTATAACAAAAAATGGACCCAGATATAGTCCTACGTGATAATAATATAAATACTACACTATGACATCTATTCTTTTTATCAGAGCATCCCTTGTCATGCATCTATTCTTTTTCTCTTTTCATCCCAATCAGACATGGACATGTAGAAGAAACAATGTTCTTTCTACTGTCCATGTCCTAGATTTTAGTTTCTAGAATTCATAGACTCAAAATTGTTCACATAGTGATGGTAAACCTTTTAGAGCTTTCAGTAGCAAACAGCCTGCTGCAGCCCGCATGCTGTAGGTTCACTACCACTAACATAGAATATTTCTTGTTGATGTCTGGTAAGAGCTTTGCTCTAAGAAACTTTATATTTTATAACCTTTCCTTAGAAGTATAAGAAAGATATAGAATCTCCTGAGTTATATGTGCAGCTTATACATTCTTTTTAGAAGATTGAAAAATATTTCAAATTAATTATATCCATAATACATATTTTTGCTATTCACATAATTCTTTAAGCAATATTCACATATATTTGTGCTTTGTCTGTTTGTGTTTTTTTTTTGAGACAAGATTTCACTCTCATTCAGGCTGGCCTTGAATTCACTATGTAGCCCACATTGGCCTTGAACTAGTGGTGATTGTCCTGCCTCAGCCTCCTGAGTTCTGGGATTACAGGTGTGTCACCATGCCTGGTTGTCTGTTTACTTTCAAATCTACTTTTGAGCTTTCAATAAAACTGTGAAGATTTCTCAAATATTTGATAAAGGAAGCAATCATGAAAATATTCTACTACCATAGCATTTTCATCTTTCAGTTTAAGTATCTTCTATCATTTTGTGTAGTTTCCTGTTCTTCATGGGAGTTGATAGATTTTTATCTTTGTAGTCTCAACTCTGTTGCCTTTTTTCAAGCTGGTGGAACAGTCAGTATATCACAGGGTTTCTAAACACAGTATCCACTCTACCATATCAGTTGTAGCAGCAGAATCTGATAAGGTGGGCATTCATTACCTGTTGCTACTGTAACTGTAGGACCTCCTTCTTAGCTTTTTCTGCGCAGCTCTTTACTGATTTTAACAGAATATTGTTTTAGTTCATTTTCTTTTCCATCTAGATACATTTGTAACATAGCAGCAGTCTTGTCACTAGAAGTGCATCTTTAACTGCCGCTCAAAATCTTATAGCTGTGTAAGGGAAAAAGCACCTGCTTCTAATGGATCCTGCCTGATCTCATCTTGTCTGTTTCTCACATATTTCATCACATCCCTTCTTGATGAAATGAATTCAGTTGATTCAGTTGCTGAGGCACCTCTTCATCAGATGAATCTTTACCAACTGCAGCTTTGAAAGATTTCATAACAACTTCTAGAAAAGCACCCGTTCTACTAAATCCCAGACATGTAGTCATCTTGGTAGAAAGCATAAACCTGGCCACAAATGCTTTCATTTATTTGTGAAGCAGCTGCAAGCCCAGCAGCCTGTCAGCTTTTCTGCTTCTGGCTCCATCCGTGTGCAGAGCTGGGGCCTGTGTCACGTGACAGCCTCCCTCTCCCACAGTTCTGTGGCTCCCTGTGGGACTCTCCTCCTTAGCAGAGTTCTGTGATGTTGCCAGCCTGGTCCGCAAAAGCTGTGCCTTATTTCTGGTGATTTTAATTTGTATCTTATTTGAAGTAAACAGTGAGATTTTCATTTTTAAGAGTCATTTATATTTTTCTCTGAATTGACTGTTTACTTCCTTTGTTCATTTTTCTATTGATTTGATAATCTTTTTCTTAATAATTTACAGGTACTGTATGTATTAAGAAAATTAGCCTTATATAATGATAGTAATTTTTCCAGTTTCTTTTAATGTATGTGTGGTTATTCCTTAATAAAGTTGTTCTGTTTTACATTTTTATGTAGTCAGATACATCAATCTCTAGTGTATCCCTTTTGCATCTTAAAAAAAAAACTATTTTGAAATAACTTTAGAGTCATGGGAACTTGCTAAAATAGTACCGGAAGTAGTACTACAGTACTGGCTTTAACCCAGTCTCCCCGAAGGTTACATGTTATAGTGCAATAGGAAAACCAGCACCTTAATGTTGCTACAATTGTGTATAATTCTATGCTCTGTTGTCACATGTGAAGGTACAGTAATCACCACAACAGTAAAGACACAAAGCTGTTCTATTTTTTTTTTTTTTTTTTTTTT